AAAGTTGTCTGGCGTTTCCCAGACCCGCTTGCAGAAGAGCATCTGAGGCGGTAGCAGCTGAAACGAAGGGACATTGAACCGCAGGGACAAGTCTGGAATGAAGATGTTTGCCACCTCGGCCCCCAACTCGGCCGCTACGTCACCAAGGCAATTCACCCCGTGATTCATGAGTAGCCATCCCTCCGCACCCTTTCGCATGGCTTCCTTGAGCAGCTCCTCGATGAAGCCACCCTCTAACAGCTCCCTCAGCACCCTTGGCAGCCCGAAGCCTTCGATTCCAAAATCGGAGTAGACGCTCAGGGCCTTTGCTGGAAACCGCATTGCTTATACGGCTCAGCTCTTTCAAAGCAGAGGCGGCAAAAGGTGCGAACGAGCAAGCTGGGCTCCAGGCGGCTGCGCCACAGATATCGACCGCATGTCTGCGCCGGCGGCCTCCCTCGCTTTGTATGCTACTTGGAGGGTATTCGATGGTATGGGCCTGCGCTCTGGCTTCGGCGTTGAGCGTCGGATGGAAAGTGAGCGGAATGCCAGGCATAGGCCAAACCTCGTTTTCTCGCAGTCAGCACACAGGCACTCTACCCATAGGCCCCATAGGAGTTCCTTTTTTGGGGTTACCTCGTAGGATTCTATATATGAACCCCAAAAATTAGGAACTACTTTGGGGCCTATGGTAGTCTAGACTCGCCCAAACCCGACGCCGTGCAAACGACGCTTGCAAAACACTGAAGCCCTGAAGCGCATTAGCTCTTCCAGCCGAGTCGCGACGAGTTCCGGCCCCACACTTAGCTTTAAGGATGCCGCTGCGCTGGCCCCCATCCGAATAGTCTCCTGTATAGGGCTGTTAGAGTTTTGCATTGGGGGTGTGGGGGCTGGAGTTCGAAGGAAGCTGAGAATTGACATAGTGCATGCCGAAGCCGTCCGCTCCTTGTGCTTGAATGTGCGGCGATTTTCTTCATTTTTGGGATGTTCTACATGCGCCTCGAAAGAACCATCTTCTTTGACCCATCCGTGGGCCCGGACTTGGAATTCTGCATCGCTTCGCATGTTGATTGTTCCGGTGAGGACGCCCTGTCCAACCAAAGTCGCGACCATCTGCAGCGAGATCATGATGCCTGGGACAGCATGAGGGCAGATTGCGACTGGGAGTTTCAGAACCAAGATTTGTACTTGTCTGCGAGAGCGCAGACTTTTGGAGTGACCTTCTAGCCCTGGCACTTTTTGTGCTGCAAGGATAGACCCAAAGCCATGTCCGAGGACTGACTGACACGTGCTGCAGCTTCTGGCGGGACCCCCCAAAAAGCTAACATTAGCCGTCTTAGCCGAGAAGCAGAAAGGTCCGGCACAGATCACCTTCGTTATTGGCTTCTTCGGCAAACCCTTCGTGAGCGTGTAGCTGCAGCTACCCTCCCCGGAGACCATCGTGTCGTAGGATACGAGCAGTGTGCCACTGACATTGAACTCGGTGTGTCCGTTCAACCACACTTTCGTTTTCACGTCTGCGGTAAGCTTCGACATTCCATTGATGGCCACGTCAAGACCCGCTTCGCACGACCCCGAAGGCGAACTCTTTTGCATCGCCTCAGCTGCACTGCTCTTGAAAAAGCCCTCAAGGCACCTCAAGGCTAGCAAAGAACTCCAAGAAAACTCTGAAAGGCGCAGAAGCCAAGTCTCGCCGATCCCATTCATGGAGGTCTGGATTTGACTCGCCATGTCTTGTAAGCTCTGGATGGTGGCCCGTTCCGTCTCAGTCCCCGGCAGGACTCCAGACTCGGTCTCTCCATCACTGTTTACCGATGCCTGGATCCCGAAGCCACTCGTAAACTCGGAACCTCTCGAAAGTATACACCTCATGTCCACCCAATCGGGGCCGAGGTGGACATGACTGCCAGCAGGACAATCACACTCATGGCCAATGAGAATCTCGCACGGAGTGGGGAGGGTGGTCAGGCAGTCCATGTTCAGCCGGTCCCAAACCGAGCCGAGCCCAATGGCCCCGGCCAGTTTGCGTCCTTCAGCGGCGGTCTTTTTCGCATGTTCCAGCATGACCCCGCTCAGCTGGACGACGGTTCTTCGCACAAACTTCGGTGCCAAAGGTGTAAGCTCTTGTCCGACCTGCATCGCGGTGTTTTTAATGGTGTCCGCCACAAAGCCGTGGAGGTTTGTCAGGTCTCCCCAGCGCTGGGGCGGTGAGGTGACGAACTGAGTCCCGACCACCAGGGCGGCGTTGGCCGTGACTGTTCCGACATTCAAGCCTGAATTGCTCTCGGGATGTCCAAAGCGTGGCTCGGACGCACAAGAACTCGTCAAGACTCTAGCACCGTCTACGTGCGACCTGGCTGCCTGCATTGGCAATCATGGTCACGGTGTCCCCAACTTCGCCTACGGCATCCGACACAAAGTCCCCAACGGCCCCAAGGGGCCCGAATGAGTCGCCCGAAGAGGCGCCCGCCACCGTCATTGCAGAAGTGTTCAACTCCTGCACTCGCTGGGGTCAGTGAAG